ACGAATTTTCACAACAATGGTATCATGCTCGTAACTCGCTTTCATACCAACAGTTCAATGATTTATGGGACAAACTTTTAACAAAATTTCCTGAGGCGGTATCTTATCTTAACCATGCTCTTTATAGTGAAAAGGAACGTTGGGCTCTTTGTTACATTTCCAGAATCTTCACTGCTGGAATGCAGTCGACACAGCACGTAGAAGGTCAACATGCAATTATAAAAAATTCAGTAAACAGTAATACGTCCTTAATCAATCTTGCAAAACATATTGATGAATAAATTGATTGGGCTTCTACTTTTATTCAATATAAAATTGGGCACATTCTATTACAGGGTCCACTCTTACTTGTGCCAGCTCTGAATTTTCACCCGATATTGATAAATGGATTAGTACTTATTTGACACAAGCTTCTTTATCTATACAACGGCAAGAAATCTCTCAGGCCATATGGTATTCATCATGGGTTATTAATAATTTTCAGGATTTGGGATTTCAATGTGATTCAAGTGAAGGTTTTAATTTAACAAATCAGTCTGAACAATCAGACCCAACTGAGACCCTTAATACTTTTTTTGAAGACACTGTAGATGCGCTTGCTATATTAATTAATGAATTAATACCATCTACCGATATTGATTCTATTCTTGAAATTTGTGAGGTTACCCGGCACAGGTGTAAAGCTAAAAACTACATCGTAGTGTTTAAAAATAATACTCATTTATACACGTGTCTTGGTTTAACCCAATATGGTTTTGTTTGTAGACACTTCTTTCAAGTTATGACTATGTCTAATAATGCTGCATTTCATATTATGCTTATATCAAAAAGATGGTATGTTGATGAAAAGCAAATTGAATCTGAATCAGTAACATGACAATATCCTTTTATTATTGGAGTGGGAAATAATGCAAATACAGAATCTTCGGGTGATAATAGACAATCCTTTCCTGATTTGTCTTTTTGTTCGCCAAAAATTTCCTTTAGCGATATTCATAGTAAAGTTAACTACTGCAAATCTTATGTAAAAGTTAATGAATTATCAAAAAAAGCTATTCCATGTGGATTGGACGTTGGCTCTAATGCTATACAAGAGCTTGAAGATTTTATGAATAGTTTTATAACCAAATATGCGCCAAAAAAAAAAGAAAAAACAGTTTATAGAAATAACATGAAACAGGGGGAAGATGAAGACGAAGATACTTCAAACAATAGTTCTAGTGTTGAAGATTTTGTGGAAGTTGAAAATTCAATAGTTCATACTAGGAAAGGTGCTCCACGAAAGAAGAGATTTAAAGGATCTCACGAATCAGTAGACAAAAATAAGTCTAAACAAAATTTAGAAATTCAGAAGACTAGAAAGCCAACCCAGTGTCAACAATGTCAAAACACTAGTCACAACAAGGCTGGTTGTGAAGCATGGCATAAACGACAAGGTGTTCCATATTTATATTGATAACAAATTATGTGACCGTTATTTGTCTTGATCAACTTGGAGCATTGGAACTTAATACTTGATTTAATTCGCTTAAACATTAATGAAGTATTATATAATGTGAATTCATAACTTGTGGGGTATGAAACAAAAGTAATGTATAATTCATATGTAAGTAATACTTGTGCATTAAAAATACATGTATACTAAGGCAACGTTATTACGTATGGTTAGCAAGATTCAAAATCTATTTCTATAAGCATCACCTTGATAGTTAGAGTTAGATCTAATACTAATATTTGTTTCGTGTGGTTAGGGTTAATTCTGGTGGTTTATAGAAAACATTCGTTCAAATAAGTATTATCTTAATTTCTGTATTACATACTTATTATCTATACATTGCATATTTGATTTAATTGCTTAATTGGAATAAGTAAAATGGGTTGAGATTTATACTTAGTATTGAGTTTGTGTGAAATAATTTTAACACAGTTCGACATTCACTATTTATAGATCGCAGAATAGGTTTCTACTTAACATCCACCAAATCAATTAAGTATTTACATAGTTAATGTCATGTAGATTACTAACATGTAAAAAACCTTTTGCAATCGCATATGAAGATTTGTTAAACATAATCAAGAGAAACGAAGTAGATGAGTAGGGTGCGGTAAGATAGTATTACCATTACGACTTAATACTATGTAGAGTTCTGCAAGTGCTGGGCATCGATACTATGTTTAATAGTACTGTGTCACAGCACTTGCAGAACCCTATTTAATAAAGAACGGTTTTACACATTTGTACAAATGTGCATACAAAGGGAAAACCTGCAGTGCTTATTTACTTACCAGCATATAATATATGCTATGTAGTATTGTGATATATAATTAGTTATATTCATTAAACTTGTTATACTTGTTATACTTGTTACACAGCATTTCTTATTGTTCAAAAGCGTATCATGTGATCTGGGTATATATATCCTAAGGTATATATAAATTACTCCTATAAATATAATATATATATTATATTATACAGTATAATAAATCATATTTAAATATTCTATTTGACCAATTTGACCAATACAGATTCTTTGACCAAACTGGTCAAATTGGTCAAATTGGTCTGGTCCAATGGTCAAACTGGTCTGGTCAAGTCAACACTATCTGCAATGTATTGTTGTGCTCAATTGTTTGTTTCCTAAGTAAAGTTGACAATTTATGCTTTTTTAGCTTCTATAAATCTCGGTATAAATACTATAATCTCTTGAGGTAACTGATCAAATATTTTTTATCCCAAAGTAGCCACATACTCCTATACGTGACTTTTCTTTTTTGGCAGCAATTGTTGTTGTCTATCTTTTGATGGAGGTATGTCAGATTTTTCACTTTTTGTTAAAATTTCGTAAAGAACAGAGAGTGGGGTCTTGGTAGAGGGTTTCGATTTGCAGGTAGCCTTAAACTTTGATAGAAAGTGTGTTGAAAACTTTTTGTTGTTTTCCTTTAGGCTAGCTATATTTAATTTTGTCAGCAGAAGCTATGTTTCTATTAAAATTTTTTGTACAAAGACACCACCTCCTGCCAGTTATCTTGTACAAAAATACTTTTAACTTGCTTGCTGAATATACAAAAAAGTCTGGAAGAAAATGGTAATTAAAACCTTGATTTCTGTAAAAACTGTTACTTGTAGTTGTCTCTTCTACTTTCTTCAACAAGTTTTACATTTTCATTAGTCAAATGTTTGGTACGAGTGATCATCAGATATCATAATATATTTATTTACTATATTCATTTATTACACAATATATTCTATTTACTTTTTATTAAAATAAACAATCAACCAAAACAACATATTAATTTCTAAAACTAATTACCTAATTCTCTTAATTAATTTAATATAAACCAATTTTTTATATACTGCAAGCAAATCAATAAAAATCAAACAAATCATTTTTAACCAAATTATCTTAACAATTAAATTTTATAAATCTTTTTTTATATATCTATAAAACTAATTTAAAAAAAATTTGATTATATTCTCTTGGGACCACACTTTAACAACATGTAAAAAAAAATACATTTATAGAAGTCAAGTACAGTCGTCCCTCTATATAGTCACCTTCCATATAATCACACTATATGTAATCACATTTATGTTTAGACCAAACTATGATTTAATTTATAAGAAAAAGACCTCCATACAAGCACAGCTTCTATATAAGCACATTTTGAAAAAAATTTGCTATGTGCCCAACTGTGTGATTGTATGGGAGGACGACTGTATATACTTGTGTCAAAATCTAAACATATATTTAAAAAGTCTAATTATATAATAAATTTGAATTAATATATTTGTAGCCATAGGCTACCGTAGCCGTAACTAAAACAACCCTTTTCTTTGTTAGTTAGGGTTAGGGTGAGGTAAAAATAGTGTGCGGGTGAAAAAATGTGGAATTTTTTTGGTTAAAACTCAGAGTAGTTTCATATACTCAATTTTGAGTTATAACCGATTT